TAACATGCAAAGGAGTCCCTGCTACAAAAAAAGCCCTGGGCAAGGTAAACAGAATAAGAAGCAAAAGGTGGGTGTGGCTGGATGAGCACACTTCTGGTAACATGGGGTGTGTGGCCTAATATGCCAATGAGCTGTGCTGTCAGGGGTGTGGCCTAATATGCTAATGAGTTTCTGCTGTTGGGTGTGGTCTATTATGCTAATGAGTTCTTGCTGGGCTTTTTCTTCAAAAAAAGCCCTGCCTGTGAGGGTGTGTCCATCTTGTAGAATTCCATTTTACTGCATCCCTATTTATTATTCTACAGATTTTTAAAGAAATTATTTCTTTTACCGGAGTGTTTTCAGTGTTTTTAACTTTGAGATAAAATAAGTAAAAGCATGCTGGTGTCGTTTAGCAAGACATTAAGCTTCTCAACGAACCACTCTGAAACTAAGAATTGTCAGGACCCAAGAAGCTAAATCCAAACAGGCTTTCCAGGTTGACTACTCCCCTGTATGATAGAATAAGATATTGCTGAAGCTAAGCAGCTAGGTGGACTCCAAAGAGGGTGTTTTTTTTTCTTTGAGGCCATCCTGTAATGAACTGAGAGGGACACTGGTGCAGGACAAAATGATTTAGCTTTGTGTCAGAGAAATCAATGTAGCTTTGATTTCAGGGGAGCCTCCATGTTCAGGGGCAGTCAACCTCTGGATCACCATGGCAGGAGGCAACATCAGGGAAGGTCTTGGCTTCATGCTCTGTTGTTGGCCATCCAGAGGAGCTGGTTGGCCACATGTGTGAGATGGGATGCTGGACTACGTGGTCCACTGGTCTGATCCAGCAGGGCTCTTATATACTTATGAAGGCCTCTCTGCCCTGTTGTTGGCCCTCCAGAGGAACTGGCTGGCCCCTGGGTGAGACAGGAGGCTGGACTAGATGGACCCCTGGTCTGATCCATCAGGGCTCTTCTAATGCTCTTCACCATTAACCTTGCACACATGACATGTCCTAACTACTTCGCTACAGAGCAGGGGGGGGGATCAATCCCTCAGACAGACAAGATTGCCAAACTAGGCTTCTGGCAGATGTGTGCCGCTTCTTGTGCACTTGATGTAGTAGCGTCCTCCAAAGCTTACAAGTTTCCATCGTGCCCGCTGGGCAATCACCTTGGCATCGCAAGACATTTTTCTGAGCCTCACCCACTGGAGCCGGACCTTCTTTGTTTCATGCCAAGATTGGTCCTGTTGCACTCTGCCAAAGTTTGTCCTGTCAGAGGCATCCATTACTCTTAAATCTTTTCTCCCTCGCTTTGTGCCACCGTGCACAGTACACCAATTGGGCCTTTCTGCACACTTGATGTCCTTCGTGGCCTTGTCCGATTGTTTGAGGGTACTCTCTGGAACGTTCTGGCCTGCTCCTGCCTTGGCAAGTGCACACCAGATCACACACACACACCGCTGTGCTTTTAAAATCTCATACGAGTTTTGGGTATGGGTTTACTGGGTTCTTATGAAATCGAGGTTACTTTAAATAGGTAAAAGGTAAAGGTTTCCCTTGCTCGAAAGCCAGTCGAGTCCGACTCTAGGGTTGTGGTGCTCATCTCCGTTTCAAAGCCGAAGAGCCAGCGCTGTCCGAAGACGTTTCCGTGGTCACGTGGCCGGCATGACTAAACACCAAGCCGCACGGAACGCTGTTACCTTCCCACCAACGTGGTACCTATTGATCTACTTGCAATTTCTTGCTTTAAAAATGCTAGGTTGGCAGGATGTATACTTTAAATACATGGCCACTAAAGACTTATGGGACTGTGGTGGCTCAGTGGTTAAGACGCTGAACTGCAGACCGGAAGCTCGGTACTGCAGCAGTTCAAGACCCGAGTGCTGCATGACGGAGTGAGCTCCCGTCTCCGGACCCAGCTCCTGCCAACCTAGCAGTTCGAAAGCAAGAGATTGCAAGCAGATAAATAGGTACCACTTAGGTGGGAAGGTAACAGCGTTCTGTGCGCCACGGAAATGTCTTTGGACAGCACTGGCTCCTTCGGCTTGGAAGTGGAGATGAGCACCGCTCCCTAGAGTCGCATTTGAATGGCTTTAGAGCAAGGGAAACCTTTACCTAAAGACTTAACAGAAGCAATTGTTTGGAATACAGCAGACAGATCTCTTTCCCCTCCTTTAAAAAAATGTATATCTCACATTCTCTCCAGTGGGGACCCGAATCGCAGCATTTTTCTCCCGTTTGGTGTTGTGGTTACGAGTGGGGGACTCTAATCTGAGAGAACCAAGTTTGATTCCCCTCTTCTCCACATGCAGCTGCTGGTGTGACCTCGGGTCACTCACAAGTTCTCTCAGAGCTGTTCTCTCACGAGCAGTCCTCGAAAGAGCTCTCTCAGTCCCACGTACCTCACAGGGTGTCTGTTGTGGGGAGGGGAGGGGAAAGGAGTTGGTAAGCTGCTCTGAGACTCCGTTGGGTAGTGAAGGGCGGGGTATAAATCCAATCTCCTCCTCCTCCTCCTTTTTCTCTTGGGGGTTGAGGCCACCCAAGCAGCCTTCCTGTGAGATCTTGGCTCTCTGGCCAGCACTGTAGGTAGGAGGGGCTACATCCGGATGTCGATTGACGACAGAGGCTAAATTGACCTTGCTGTGGATTTTCAGAAGTCAGACAGTGTGTGGATAAATTCAGATAAGTAGCCATGTTGGTGTGAAGCAACAGAATGCAATTTGAGTCCAGTCGCGCCTTGAAGACCAGCAAAGTTTAACGCATGCACACAAAAGCTTATACCCCGAATTGAACTTTGTTGGTCTTCAAGTCATCCCTGGACTCAAACTTTGTTCTAGTGTGTAGATAAAAAGATGCTGTCCCTTTTCTCTGGGGCCACCATCAGATGTGGAAGTTCAAAGCTTCTCTTTTTCTTTTATTGGACGCAACAGGTGATGGCCCAGATCTTGAAAGATATGGGGATTACCGAGTATGAGCCCCGGGTGATAAACCAGATGCTGGAGTTTGCATACCGTGAGTCTTCCTTTGCGTCGTGCTTTATCGCAGCCTGTCCCAATTTTTATGTATGCCTCTTTACATTTCCCACTTTCGCTATTTCTCTCCACACCCCAGCCCCAGAACTATCTCACTGGGTAATGTTGGCAGTCTGCAAGCAGGCCCCGGCTCCAGGTTGCTGGTCTATAGGGATGCCAAACTCCACGTGGGACCTGGAGATCCCCCAGAATTACAACTCATCTCTAGGCTACAGAGATCAGTTTCCTTAGAGGAAATGGATGCTTTGGAGGGTGGAATCCATGACATTGTACCCCACTGAGGTTCCTGTCCTCCATAGGGTCCCTTCCCCAAATCTCCAGGAGTTTCCTGGGCTGGATCTGGCAACCCTGTAATCCCCACCATCCCCCTGTCAGTGGCCAGGGGAGACCTGAGAGCCCTGTTGGCCAATAGGTTTTCCCCAAGTCCCTTGCCAAAATTCTACAAAATGTTGGAAGGTTCCAAGACAAGCATCCCTCTGCAATGGAGGCAGCTGTGTCTAAATAGGTGCACCCCAGAGTAGAGATGTAAAATTTCTGGAAATTTTGAAGCTCGGAAACCCCCCCGATTTTCTTCCGGTTTTTTTCGGGGGGAAATGGCAATTTTCGGAAAAATTGAAAAAAATGCTACATTAGCATTTCGTTTGTCTTTTCTGGATTGAAAGTCATTCTGTTACTTTAGGAACATACAATATGACTATGGACATTTTTACTTGAAACTGAAACTTTTTTTCTTCTTCTGACAATCGCACCTCCTAAAGGAAGAAATGCATCTTGTTCTTGCATTGGAGGGTTCAGTTTGTAACCTAGGACTTGCTTGTCAGTGCACAGAAATTACGGTAGATCAATCTGATACCATACGTATATATTTTAGAAATGATTTGGAAAATATTTGAACACTTTGTCTTAAAATATTTTATTCATCATGTTAAAATAAAACGTTCTATAATCGATTTCTTTTCTTTTCTTTTTTCAATTTTTCCAATTTTTCGGAAAAAAACAAAAAAGACTTCAGGAAAAAAACGGGGAAAAAACGTTTCTCCCCCGAATTTTTCCATTTTTTTTCCCGGGCCTTCACATCTCTACCCCAGAGACGTAAAGGGGGTGCCTCCTGGCTGCTCTTGAAGCACCGCCAAGCAGTGCTCCCTCTCAGCTGTGGAGTCTTGTGAACAAAAATTCTACTTTGTGAGCTCCTGGCCTTAAAGTTGTGAGCGAGCGATTTGGCCACTGCATAAATTTGTTTGCTCTGGAGCCCTCCTTCCTGAGCTAAGGCAAAAATGTGTGAGCCGGAGGCTAAAGAACTGGGAGCTAGCTCACACTCACTCAGCTTAGAGGGAACACTGCCTCCAAGTCTCGTGAGAGGCTGGAGACCCGGGGGGGGAGGGCTCTTTCCTTTGGGTAAGGGGCCAGTGGGCTCCAGGGACCTTGACGGTGATCGCTGATTGCATTTTTATTTCTGCTCTCCTCCTTCCAGTCCAGCCTTCACAACAACCTGGCAGGGTAGGTTAGGAGGAGAGAGCATGACTGACTCAAAGTCAGCTAGAGGTTTTTTGTCATCTTCTGGGCGTGGAGCAGGGGTCACTGGATGTGTGGGGGGGGAGGTAGTTGTGAATTTCCTGCCTTGTGCAGGGGGTTGGACTAGATGACCCTGGAGGTCCCTTCCAACACTATGATTCTGTGATAGAGAGTGGCAGTGCCCCTGCTGGTGCCATTGCTGAGCCCGCTCGCAGGAAGGGCGGGCTATAAATGTGAATAAATAAATAAACATTAGTCCAGCGCTCTAACCGCTCAACTGCCCTGTCCTTGCCTTCCGGCTGCAAGGAACCATGCAGCCCTCCCGATATTTCCGGATTTTTGTTTCCCGAAAGGATACGTGACGACCATCTTGGAAGATGCCAAAATCTACTCCAGCCACGCCAAGAAGTCGAGCGTCGATGCGGACGACGTGAAGTTGGCTATCCAGTGCCGGACGGACCAGTCGTTCACCTCTCCCCCTCCCAGAGATGTATGCCTACTCCCCTGCTGTTGTGGGGAAAAGAGATCTGTTCATAATTTATACAGGGGTCCTTCCTGAATGTAGCACAGGGCTTAGTGCAGGGGGTGTCCTACACGGTGCCCGTGGGCGCCATAGCACCCACCAATGCCTTTCTCCGTGGCCACCCGTTGTTTTTAGAAAGTGGGTGGGGCTCTTGCCCAACAGAGCTTCTGATTGGCTACCGAAGATCTAATCAGCTATGCAGATTGAAATAACATTGTTTCAGTAACAGCTGCCACCACAAAGTTTGTTTAATTCTCTGTCACTTCCCTTTCCCCGTGTATATTTAAATTGCACCACTTCTTCCCTGCCCTGTGTATGTGGCTAGCTTTTCTGCGGCAGCCATTTTGTGGTCGGCTCCACCTCTTGCGGCAGCCATTTTCTGGTTGGCTCCGCCGCTTGCGGCAGCCATTTTCCGGTTGGCCCCGCCCGTTGCAGCTGCCAGTTTGTGGTTGGCTCCGCCTCTTGCGTCCGCCATTTTCTGGATGGCTTCACCTCTTGTGGCCGCCATTTTCTGGTTGCACCCACCACTGGTCCCCACAGTTTCGAAAAGGCTGGGGGAGCCATGGCACAGGGTGTATCGTAAGCAAAACAGAAGGTCCCTGCCCCAAGGAGCTTACAGTCTTACTCCCAGTAGCAAGGTGGGGGGGACTGAGAAGAGCCGGGGGCAGTGAGTGGGGAAGGCTGCATGAGCTCAAGTGTCTAGACTTTGGAAAGGTGTGATCCGAAGCCAGGGAGAGCAGGAGGTGTGAATTAATACCATGTGCCTTTCCCCCAGTTTTTGCTCGATATCGCACGGCAGAAGAACCAGATGCCCTTGCCGTTGATTAAGCCGTACGCGGGCCCACGGCTGCCGCCCGATAGATACTGCCTGACGTCCCCCAACTACAAGCTGAAGTCTCTGCAGAAAAAGGTGGGAGCTGGGAGCGGTACCCGTGTTGTGCGCGTGTGCCCTTAACCCGAGGAACTGTGTCCTGGTTGGGCCAAGCAGAGCTTTACTGCCCAGCGGGGGTGTGCGTAAGGTGCTGGTGGGATTCTTCTCGGTCAGAACAAAGAAACACAAAGACGGAAGAGAAGCCATGAAATGCTAATACTTGGCACCTTGGTTCCCAATCAGAGCAACAAACTAGCTCCAAAGTTCCCGGGCATCCTGTTGTCTAAACAGACTGGTTACAAACAAACATGTGACTTAACAAACATCATTAACCCTGTAAATACTGAAGTGTTTTGACTTGTAACACCCAACAGGTGCCCTCAAGTCGCAGGTGACTTATGGCATCCCCTCGTGGGGTCTTCAAGGCCAGAGACGTTCAGAGGTGGCTTTTCCATTGCCTGCCTCGGCGTCACGACCCTGGTCTCCCTTGGAGGTCTCCCATCCAAATACTAGCCAGGGCCGACCCTCCTTAGCTTCTGAGATCTGATGAGGTTGGGCTGTCCGGGTCAAGAAAAGGACAAACCGAGGTGGTTTGCCACTGCCTGCCTCTGCGTAGCAGGCCCTGGGCTCCCTTGGTGGTCTCCTGCCCAAGCACAAGCCAGGACCGGCCCTGCTTAGCATCTGAGAGGCTGGCCTGCGCCCGTCCAGGTTATGACACTTGACTGTCAAACTGCCGTGATGAGATGGTGCCCCCTGTCAGACGTTTCCTGGGAGATGTCAGGACCCACAGCAAAACAATGAAGTACACGCTTCCAAGAAGGTTTTACTTTTATTGAAAAGCCATAGATGCAGTAACAGGAACACTGTTAGGAATGGCGGACTACCTATGCGCATACTAGCCTGGGGTGCTGTCACCACCCTGTAGACAATGTGGCCCTAGTCAGATTAATTGGTTGGTTAGAACCACTATGTAAACCGCCCAGAGACCCTTCGGGGTCAGGGCGGTATATAAGCCAAAGTTATAAATAAATATAGATAAATAAATAAATAATAGGATATAGGGCATTCGAATGCGCCCCCCCCCCCCCTACCCAATTAGATGGGCTCCCCCGCGCGGGATTCAGGAAAGTTGCTAACGGTAGCAAAAGCTGGGAACCAGAACGATCCCACGGAAGGTAGACACCACAACTCCTCCAGTACCTCTTTACAGATAAGCGTTGCAGCTGCTGGTAAGCAATGAAGCGCATGGAAAGGGAATGCAGAACAATTAGAATGTCTCTCCCAACTCATGGCAGCTTACCTGACAGGAAGCTGGGTGGCTGGCCTGCAAGGCCAGAACTTTGGGGAGGCGAAGGGGGCCTTATGCTTGCCTGTTTGTTTCCGGGATCCTCCGTGCAGGCCCAGAATGACGAGGAGAGAGAGTTTCATGTGTTCCAGGATCCCTCCAGCCCAAGTACAGAAACTGGAATTCAGTCTTCCACACCCAGCTTAGCTCTTCACCCTTCCCAGTAACCAGCAGAAGCAAGTGTATTTTTCTCTTTGGTGTCGTTCCCCAGTTTGGTGTAGTGGTTAAGTGCGCGGAGTCTAATCTGGGAGAACCGGGTTTGATTCCCCACTCCTGGGGAACCTTGGGTCAGTTACAGTCCTCTTGGAATTCCTACCTCACAGGGCATCTGTTGTGGGGAGAGGAATCTGTCAAGAGCTCTCTCAGCCCCACTGACCTCACAGGGTGTCTGTTGTGGGGAGGGGGAGGGAAAGGAGTTTGTAAGCTGCTCTGAGACACCTTTGGGTAGTGAAAGGTGAGGTATAAATCCAATCTCTTCTTGTTCTTCTTTAAATGGGACGCAATGTTCCCTCTAAGCTGTGGAGTCTTGTGAGCAAAAATTCTACTTTGTGAGCCACTGGCATTAAAGTTGTGAGCAGGTGATTTGGCTACTGCATGAATTAGTTTGCTCGGGAGCCTTCCTTCCTGAGCAAAGACAAAAATGTGTGAGCTGGAGGCTAAAAAACTGTGAGCTTGCTCACACTAACTCAGCTTAGAGGGAACACTGAAAGGGAGCACTTTGATTTTACTGCTTCAGTAAACATCTTTCTCCGGTTTTTCCCAGGTGCCAATGGTAGTCATGCTGCAATATCTGATTAGCTAGCCAAAGTTAAATACTACACATTTAGAGAGGTTTAAATCAATCAGTCGATCAACCTTTATTGGCATATTGTATTAAAACTGCCAAGCAAGGAAATACAGAATTCATATACAGGCAATGATACCTTCCCTCCTCTTGGAAGCGAAAAACAGAAATTTGGCCACCATTTCCAAAATCACTGAGGAGCGAGTAGAGAGTAAATAAGGTATCTTCCATTCATCAGAGTAGGTGCAAGTGGAGGAGTGGGGAATCAAACCCGATTCTCCCAGATTAGAGTTCGCACACTTAACCACTTCACCAAACTGGCTTAATGTGGTTTAATTCAATCAGTCGATCAACCATTATTGGCATATTGTATTAAAACTGCCAAGCAAGGAAATACAGAATTCATATACAGGCAATGATACCTTCCCTCCTCTTGGAAGCGAAAAACAGAAATTTGGCCACCATTTCCAAAATCACTGAGGAGCGAGTAGAGAGTAAATAATGTATCTTACATTCATCAGAATGATTCGCTCGATTTCTCAACAAAGGCTCGAGATATAATGATCGAATATCGCAACAGAAGATACAGTGTAGAAGGATATGATCCACACTCAATTTCATTAACACCACAAGGACATAAATGTAATTTAAATGCTGCATGTTGAGTGCACACGTGATACACACACACACAAGTATATATAAGTTAAAAAAATGTGTGTTCTGAGGACAGTTACCTGAAAAACTTAGTTGCAGCTTCGAAACTGCCCCCCACTGGGCTAATCTACGCATTCATGACGTATCCAGTACATTTTATTTATTTACTTTATTTACACCCCCACCTTCCTTCCCAGTGTAAACCCAAGGTAGCTTGCACAGTTCTCTGCTCACTTTTAATCCTCACAACAGCCCTGTGAGGTAGGTGAGGCTGAGGCTGTGTGACTGGCCCAAGGTCACCCAGTGGGATTCCGTGGCAGAGCAGGGGATTCGAACCCGGGTGTCCCAGAACCTCGTCCGACACTCTAGCCAGTACCCTGTGTCGGCTCTCATAAATTGTAAGCGTTGCTTCTTTCCAGGTCTCTTCCTCCGCCGGAAGGATAACCGTGCCACGGCTGAGCGTCGGGGCCGTCACCAGCAGGCCCAGCACACCAACTTTAGGTACTGCTCCGCAGCGCAGATGAGTTGCGCTCTTGTCTTGCCCTGTCACTTTTCCATGCCCCTCCGTGCTGCCGACTCATTTGTACTGTTTTGGTTTCGGAGCTGAGCTCCCGTGCCCTGGCAGGGTGGTGGAGAGAGGGAGAGCTTTAGTCACTGTGGCCTCTTCTCTCAAGTCGGTTTCCAGGTTGCTAAGCCCCTCCCTAGAGGGATCTCAGTCCTGTGCATGGCCAACCACGCCCATAACTAAAATGCACTCCTTTAAGCAGAGTGGGGTGCTGTGGTTGACTAATTCCCTCACTGAGCAAGGGGGTTGGAGTTGGTGAACTCTAGGTTCCCTTGTAACTCTGTATGAAGAAACTGGTCTCCTTTAGGAGAGTTTTTCTGCCTAAGTGTGAGCTTTCCTGACTCTAGAAGTCGTCACCCCCCACCTTTCCGGCTTGTTATCAGAATGGTTGCTTAGGCTGGCAAAAGTGATTAACTTGCAGCAGCTGAGGACTGTCTCCCCCCTCCCCCCCCTTCATTTTTCTTCTTGGTGAATTTCAGGGACCCCTTCGGCACAGACGGTATCTGTCTCGACCAAAGTCGGGACCCCCATGTCACTGACGGGGCAGCGATTCACCGTGCAGATCCCCACGTCCCAAACATCGGTCAAGTCAGGTAAAAACGAGCTTTAAACAGCACACTTATTTCCCAAATTAGGGGGCCGAGCTGGGGTGGGAAGGCGAGAGAGAGAGTGTGGATTTTGAGAGACACCTGCTGCTGTAGGTGGGTGAATACACGAAGCTGCCGCCGCCTTCTACTGAATCCGAACCTCGGTCCATCAAGGTCAATTGTGTCTACTCAGATTGACAGAAGCTCTGCAGGGTCTCAGGGGGCGCCCAGCCACATCACCTGCTACGCCATCAGGGCCGGCCCCAGCTTATTTTGCAGCCTAGGCAAGGATCCTTTCTGGCGCCCCCCCTCCCTTGGGTGCTGCTGCTGCCACCGGCCAGAGGATTTCCGCACCGACTTGACCCACTTTGCCCAGCTGCTGCCTCGCCCAGCGCCTTTCCCGGCTCCTGCCGGCGGAGCCTCCCACAGGCTGGCAGGTCGCAGGAATGGGCCACGCTGGGTAGGGGGGCTTTTGGCGGGGGGGGCAGGTGCAGTTTGGCGCCCCTAAGGGCCGGCCCACTCTAGGCGAATGCCTAGTTTGCCTAGTGAGCGAGCCGGCCCTGCACGCAATCCTTTTAAGGGGAGATGCCGGGGATTGAACCTGAGACCTTCTGCATGCCAAGCAGAGGCTCTAGCACTGAGCCACGGCCTCTCCCCAATCCTACCAGCTTTTCCTTGGGATCTTGTTGGGGGGCTCCCCATGAGGCCCATGGCCCTGTCCTGCTCGGGACCCCTTGACACCACCCAGGTTTCCTCCAAATGGGGAAGTGTGCAGGCAACCAGGAGAACTGTGTGACTCTCCATGTGAGGAAGTAGCACAAAAGGCCTTTTTCTCCCTCCCCAGTTTCTTTTTAAAGAATTATTATTTGTGCGTGCGCGTTCATGCGTGCCTGTGCCTGGAAGTTGTGGCGACCAATGTTCCCTCTAAGCCGTGAAGTCTTGTGAGCAAACATTCCACTTTGTGAGTTCCTGGCATTAAAGTTGTGAGCGAGCGATTTGGCCACTGCATAAATTAGTTTGCTCTGGAGCCCTCCTTCCTGAGCAAAGACAAAAATGTGTGAGCCTGAGGCTAAAAAACTGTGAGCTAGCTCACAACAACTCAGCTTAGAGGG